CCCCTGCCGTATCCCAGCCCAGAGGTGGCTGCAACTCACTCGGAGGGGACTCCATCCCCGTGTGAGCATCCTGTAACACAAGGAGTGGGGAACACCCGTGGGGGCAGAAGAGGGAGGCATGTGGCCACTGGCCCAGGGGGCAGGAATGGAAGCTGTGCATGGGGAAAGGGCTAAGTGCAGCCCTGCCCCCTCCTCACCAGCCCCCTCCTTCCCAGACCTGAAGGTGCAGCGGCTCATCATGAACTTCATCTGCGACCCCGACCTGAGCAAGGTCACCAACTGCATGGAGCACGCACTGCAGGCCAAGCACCCGCGCACCCGCTACAGCGCCGGCTGGGACGCCAAGCTGCTCTGGCTGGTGGACTTCGTGCTGGCCACGATCCTGCCGAAGCCGGCCCACCGCGTGCGCTAGCCCTGGCCCTGCGGGGGAGGGGAGGGCACCATCTGTGGGGTTTAGCCCAAGGAATGTGATCCGGCCCCCCAACGCCTGTTGGAAATAAACCAGCCCCCCCAGGGACACCAGGCCTGGCCCCCTCAGCTCTTGTTCCCGGCCTCCTGCTAGGCCCTTGCTCCGAGGGGGAAAATCAGGAGTCCAAAGTTCTCAGCCCAGCTGGGACCCCAGAAAGCAGGACCCCAGGCTGGGCACCTCCCGGAGCTTTCACAGAGTCCCACCCCCTGGCTGGGCAGCGGATCCCTGGACTGGTGCCTGCACTGTTCAGGCCACTGGCTGTGTCCCAGGTAAAGGCCAGGCCCACAACTTGGCCCCCAGCCCTGGGCCTTGCACCAGCAAGGCTGAGAACTGAGTAAGTTGCCTGCCCTGCAACCCCACATTTGACCAGCAGGGGGCCCAGCTGGGAGAGAGTAAATGTCATTTTTCAGCACATTGGGGGGGGGGGGAGCAAAGAAAGCAAAGCCAAGTGCCCATGACCATGAGCGAAGGGGCTGCTCACTGAGGGGAGAGGGGGGCAAAGCTATGGGGCAGCTCAGGGCAGGGGGTGCTGAGCTGGAGCAGGGCCGGGCCTCCCCTATGGCTGGGGGGGGGGCCGGGGGGGCGCGGGGGGGC